CGGACTATATTAGAATATGAATCAGTGTGACCAGGTAGCAACTTCGCTACTGAGGATTTAGCCAAGACACAGTGTCCCTCCCTGAGGATGGATCGATTATGATCGGAAACGTTGGATCATGTTATATTATAAATTTGACACTCCGTCACATCACATATAGGTTACATCAAATATTACTATTTTCAGGTTTAACCACTTTTTAAAATATTTATTAGTTTCTGTAAGCGGGAAATGCACTGCAGTAATTAATTATAAATTTTGTCAAATACAAATATAAATTTAAAGCTAACGGTTGAAATTGCTATCGATCATGATTTAGGGGTTGAGCTAGCTTTCAGAATAACGATTCTTGGTTGAAAGAGAATTGGCAACTAAGCTTTATTGCTCGAAAATCCGTTAGTTAATGCTAACTAGGCAAATAGACTCGCCACGTAAAAATAAAACATCGGCATCTATGAAGTATTCATTGTACCTTGACTTGAACCATGAATCAACAAGCTGAGGAAGCTGAAGATTAATTTAAATTAACGAACACACCTGACAAATGAACAGTCGCTATTATGCAGGAGTTCAAATATAGATCTTCAGGAATTAATCGAGCGACGAGCTGGAACGTAAAATTCACGATGCTGTTTGACTTAAATTTAAACTTTTAGTTTACGCTTGGAATGTAATATTTCAAGACCTTACAGCAGAATATTATCGCGTGGGAGAAAAACCCTTCAAGTAAACTGCTAGTTTCACTGTTTTTGGAGCAACTGCATAAATGGAAACATGAAAATGAAGAAATATTCCAGCAGCAGGCCGTTTGACAAAAAATCATTTGCAATGGCTGTAAGTCGATCTACTTTTAGATTTAAGATAAAGTTGGACCAAAACATTAATGTACATTACATTCGTATCATCCATGATCTTCACCAAGGTTACGAATGCCAGATCGTTTGACAGAGACATGGCAGATGTCGAGCTTCTGTGTGTTATTAATACATAAGAACCTTTTCATTTCATTGACAACTGAAGCGCAATTAATGACATAATTAGAAGAGGCCGTCACAAACAACTCCCGGAATCAAATATCTGTAAACAGACCGGTTCAGATTTAATATCCCAATGGCAGTGTGGGGAGGCGAAAAGCATAAAAAGCAACAACCGTTTCAGGATCGCTATTAGTTCTTTGCTGTTTTGAAACAGAACAGAAGTGAAACGTTACAGCACCTCGTAATATTCCAGTCGACAATAGACAGTACAAATACCAGCTATGGCAGCAGCCATTTATTTGACTCCTCTTTCCAACCCTATTTCCTACCTGATAGAAAAGTTCGCTATTCAGCAGGTTGGTATCGTTCGCATTCAGTATACACCTACTTACCAGTTCCCCATGTAAAAGCGAACTTCCCTGCTCACTAAGTCATTTCTTCCCATGTATGCGTGCTCGAATGCATACTCACTCCCTTGGGCATTTAGATCCTTTTCGTGCCAAAGGATACCGAATGCCGCCAGATTGAAAACCATTTCACTTAATGACATTTCAACATATTTAGTTATCCACCTTTCAACGAACCGGCAATACAAGTTTACTATGTTTGCCGAAGCACATATATGCATATGTATGATAAAGATACCGAGCTGCCAGTATAATATAATACACGCCTTGATGCAAAATGTTTCAGCACCGGACCGTCAGTGAGAGCAAGAAAAATTAGCAAATACGCAAGCTATTTCATAAGTAAATTGAAAGGTAAATGC